GCACTCTTCGAGGAATGAACCTGCATCTTCATCCAATCACAATCCGAACAATCCAGCAAACTTGCCGGTACAATATGAGAGTGAGGAAGAACTGATCCCTCATGTTCCAGCCTCATCCGGCACTGGAAGTTCAGAGAGAACCATGAGATATACTGACCAGGAAGATGGAGAATCGGAAGACTCTCAGGGGACCAGATCTTACGATGATCACCAAGCTGATCTTGTTCTTGATGAAGCACATTGGTCACTCATGACAGCTGAGCAGAAGATCTGTGCGAACACTGGATCCTTCACGGTTCCAAGAGATATTGAAGGCAACCCTCAACCCATCGCCCCGATGTGAACTCTCTCATCAGAAATACACAGATCAGAATCATGTGGACCAGTTATGCAAGAACATGACCGACGATGACCGTGCACTCTTAGTTCTGTACTCATCCAAGCAAGAATCCTTGAAGGCTTCATCCACATCCGCACTCCTTGGCAAGAAGCGGAAGGAAGCGACAGCCACTGAAATAAGGGCTTATCAGAAACAATTCCTTGAAGCCAAGCAGCTTGAGTGTAAATCTTAGCTTGATAACGAAGTGTTCGACTTGGTCGACACACGCAAGATTCAGGTCAGGAACTGGGTCACTGGTCGCTGGGTCCTTACCCTAAAGCGAGACAAGGATGGCAACTTCCTGAAGACCAAGGCTCGCTGGGTCCTCCGGGGCTTCCAAGACAAGCAGAAGAACGATCAGCAGACAGACAGTCCTGCTGCATCCAGGAGTGGCTTCCGCCTTGCAATCCAAGCAGCCGCAAATAAGGGCTCGAATATATTTCGCATGGATTTGAAGACAGCATTCTTCCAAGGCGAAGCATACGACCAGACTCGAGACATTATTTGTCAGATCCCTCCTGAAATGGGATATCCACCACACATTGGAGCGCGCATGAAGAAGCCTGTGTACGGGCTAAATGACGCACCCCGCAGATGGTGGAACATCCTTGATTCGGCACTCCGTTCATACGGACTGGTGCCAACCAGGGCAGACCGGTGTACATATGAATACTTTGGCAAAAGCAGCTTCCGAAGCCCGCATTGGTGAGTGAAAAGAAGTCATCCAATACTTTTGATCTCGAAGGAGCAGTTGATTACCTTATGGATCCTGTTTCCGGTAACAACGCCAAGAATCGACAAGTTCATGGAGCACTTTCTCTTCATGTTGATGATCTTCTTATGACGGGTGATGATGTGTTCGAGAAGGAAATCATGGGACGACTTCGCAAAGATTTTCAAGTTGGTTCCGAAGACAAGAATGATTGCCTCTTCGTAGGACAACGCATCCAATGGAAGCAAGACGACAAGCGTGGCTGGCACATCAACGTCCATCAGAACGTTGCCATTGACGAACTTCAGGAGATCACTTTTGACAAGTACCTGAAGGACGACACTCCTCTCACTCCACAAATGCATACTTCATACAGAAGTGTTCTAGGTCAGATCAACTGGTTACAATCGCGAACGCAGTTCCACATTGGTTATCAATTCTCCAGGTGTGCATCCAAGGCATCATCACCGACCATTGAGGACGTTCGCGCCATTAATAAGACAGTCAGAACCATCAAAAGCATTCCGCTTAGTATGAGATTCTGGCCCAATTCGTGGCAAGACACGCATAGTTGGTTATGCCGATGCATCCTATCGCAATAACGAAGATAAGTCTCCCAACGTGCGCATGTTCTATTCCTCGCAGAACAAAGAGATCTTCGCCAGGGCTCATCGAACTCGAGAGGCTCATTGGTCGACTATGGCAAAATACAGAATGCGAAGGCCGGCACCACCATCCATTGAAGAAGAAAGAAAGATCAAGCCGTTCGCGAAGAAGCCCATCACCTTCATGTTCCATGCAACCTATGGAAATCAACTCATCAGCATCATGGAGAACGGGCTCAGACCTGGGAAATCCCAGTCAAACCCTTCGGGGAGAATGCACGTCCACATGGCATGCATCGACGACGTTATCCTCGACGATGACAAGTCAGAAGCAGCACTCACACATGTGCCAACAGGAAGAGATGCACTGTTGATCCTGGACCAGGACTATGGCATCCGACTCTCCGAAGAGCGAACAGCACTGACAGATCAGACCATCGAGGCGAAGAATATTGTTGCAGCATATGAACCTGACGGCACCTCCATGGTGAGCAACAAATGGATCATGAAGAAGCTTCTCAGTCGAGAAGATGTTGAAATGTACGACACCAAGATCCGGGAATTCGCCGATGCTTTCTTCAGCCATGTAAATTCCGATAAGTACAGCAAAGAAAAGGATACTTCCTCAGAGACCAAGAAGCGACGGCACTCCACCGATCAAGACGAAGTTGAAGAGGAGAACATGGAACCCTCCGGGGAGAGATCCGTCAAACCAAAGGTCACAATGGAGTATCGCAATACCGAGAACCTAGATGAGTTCATCAAGGAACTCAAGGGAATCTACCTCGAAATAGAAATGAGCAAGAAGGACGCCGATGAGGAGCTCACGGAAACCAAAAGGAACTTCCTCCGTTTCATGGAGAAGTACAACAAGGATCCAAAGAGAGCTCATCCTCAGTTGACAGAATGCGAAAGAGCCTCATTGGCACACGTCGATCCTGATGTCATTCTCGGAGAGGAAGAATTTTACTTCCGCCATCGAGGAGAATGTCCCACCATGGACGAGTACAGGAATGCACAGCCAACATCCGGATATCCTATTAAGCTTCCGCTTGGGTTGAAGAAGCTTAGGTCACATGACGACCCGGAAACCATCCGAGCATTTGCCGATATCCTGGGATCGCTGATGCAGCCGACCGACCGTCCTCCTGTGGACCATCTCAAGATGCATGAGTACATCTCATCCCTGACGATCAACATGCTTTCCATTAACCATGGAAACCTCACGAGGAATCCAGACGGCAGGGAGGTACCCAACATGGCGATGAAGGATCGACCAATCGTGAAGATGATGATGCAGAACAGCGCACACATCTTATGCCTAAATGAAGCAGACGCATTCCTCAGTCCTCAAGATGAAAAATCCAGAGAACTCATCAAGACGTTCATCCGATTCGGGTACAAGGGCATCGTTATCAAGCAATGGTCATCCAGACCAATTGCATGCTTTGTCCGCGGCGGACCTTCCGCAAGAGTGGAACTACTGGCAAGACACATTTCCACCAAGAGTCAGTATTGGGGAACCACATTCGGGATGTTCAGATGTTTCTTCGGAACCGAGGAAAATTGCACTGATCCTGAATACGACATTCCGACCTCGGACTGTTTGGCAACTACGGGACCATCCATGTTTACTGAGTCTAAGAAGTACATCGGACCGAGATTGCCAGCAGGCACCATTGTCCAAGGACACGGACGGAACAAAGAGATTGTCGTTCTCCACATCGAGCAGAGTGATGAGTATCGCGGTATGCTCCCAAAATCATCCAACAATTCACTCCTCGAGTTTGACAGCCGCCACGTAACGAGGGCAGACCTTCCAATTGCTACCATTGGAGTTTTCCACATTCATCCTTCCATCAGCCATGGAGCAGCAAGGGAAGATTTTCAGAACGAAATCCTGCCACTCGTGACATTGTACCAATGTGACGCGATCACTGGAGACGCCAACAAATCCGCGAATACCAACAGCAGACTCCAGCACGTCTTCAATCCAGCCAATGGTCTCATGAATATCCTCATGAAGGCCTATCAGAATTTGTGGAATGAGACGGAGAATCTTCCACTCGTGGAAAGACTGGAGTATGCCATGGAGACCTCATGCACCATCAAATCCATTGTTCGTCACCACTTATACATGAAGACTGGATCAGGGTATGATCGAACATTCCCAGATGTGATGATGACATTTGTATTTGGATGGGGCAAAACGAATATCCAGCAGGTTGTCCGGAAGGAAGAGATGAACGCCAAGAACGATGAACAACTGGAAGCCATGCGGAACGATCCAACGTCTGCCATTTTCGACTATCAGGTCTCATCCGCGGAACGCTTCAAGCATGTAAACAATGATATGTTCATGAACGGCTCGCAAGATTCCGACTCGCACAGTCCGCTGATGGTATATATCCGCAGCAGATCCGCCGCCAGGCAACGTAACTTTGAGAGATCCAAGGAGCACCTCAAGAAGAAGCAATCCTGGACTCAGCAGGAATACAAAGATTACAACAAGCAGTACTGGGGCAATCAAAAGCACTGGAAGGACTATGGCGATTCGACCTGGAATGATTATGGAGACTATGGCAGTCAATCTGACAGCAGCCGTCGTTGGTACCGCTGATCACTTGATGAAGGAGCCACCTTTGGGACTCATCCGACTGACCAAGAAGACTCACACGACCAGCACTACGAACTACAACCAAATTATTGATCCTCACCGCCAACAAGACTATTCTGTGAGAGATCAATAGTTTCACATCCGTCCCGCGTGTACATAGTGTTGTGCATCACTTTTCGATACATTTAGGTATCGCGCAGAGTCAGTACACAATGTTGTTCATCTTGCTCACATGACAAAATCACCCGCGCCAATTGGATGAATCATTGTAACAATAGATGGCAACGGCCCACACTTTCAGTACGGCTACCGCACGTAAGGCCATGAAGCCAACGATATTTCATATCTAGTGCTGGAGATCAAAAGAAATTTGTGTCTGTTTTGTGTTTGGTTTGTTACACAATTGATCTCCTGCAACCATTTGGCTCATTGCACTTCATGCGATAGCAGTACAAAGGCTTGCAGAGACCGCTAGCAGGGATATCAGTCAAGACAAGCCACCAGGGACAATCCATCCTCCAATCATCCATATTGGCATATTGGACTCTCTCCGGAATAGATCCAGGGACCAAAACAACGACCTCTACTACCACAGGGTACCAGTTCCCTTCTGGGATAGGCACCTGGGGCAGTGGGCCTCACCCCCCGCCCCACCCGAAACCGGAGCCGGAAGCGGAAGGGAAGCGCCTGCGCGCATCAAGGCGCGCAGCTTGTTGACACTGGAGCCCAGCACCGTGGACCAAAACACTGCCTCGTCGATGGCCTTGCGCCGCTTTTGGGCCGCGTCCTGCCGAGTTCGAAACGAAGAATTCACCAAGGGGTTCGGGTTTTTGGACGGGTCTCAACTGGCTTTACTCAGGGGCCACTTTTTGTGGGGAGAGGAAATAGATGGAGTCGTGCGGTCTAGTAATATGTTGAGTGAGATAAAAGACGAGTCCGACGACAAGGCATTGCAAATTGAAACCAGGTCCAAGTAAATCCCGGAGTACCAGACACCCGGCTCCAAGGACCAGCTCGAAGGGCACCGGCACCCGACCTATGGTAACCGCGGCACACCGGTCGCTACAGCTCATCAAGAGGATTTTGACTTGAACATGTCGAGCCACGTGCCGGTTTGCACAGGCTGTGATAACATGGCCCTGTACAAAACACAGACTTTGAAGGCGAAGGGAAACCCCTTGTATTGTCCGGGGCACTTGAGGGGCTCCCATCTCCTCCTGCTCGCACCAGGCGCCGCTCCAGGTGCTGCTGTTACTCCGCAGCTTCGCCAGGGAGCTCTGCGCCAGCTTCCTGAAACATCGGCGATGTGTTGGCTCGGGGGCGATTCCACAAACTCCCAGTGGGGCCCCCCGCAAACATGAAGAAATGAAGGTGGCTCCCTTATGTGAAACACCATTCCGGGTTTTGGCCAAAAACATGACAGGGCTGTTGGGGATATCACCTGTCTTATTGAGTGTTCAGCAAGGAAAAAGTTGCAGCTGAAACTACACCGGAACCTACGGGACACCTTTGAGAAACACATTGGACGGTTTGGCTTCCCCGAACTGATTTTTGGGGGGGCTCAAGTTCCCACATGTGTATGCGTCACAATACAAAAACCTCAAAGTGGTGGCTCTCTTCTGGCTTCCCTTTAAACCAACCCAGGCAGAAAAGGGTATTGCCAAAAATGTGGGGGTGCTCAAAATAGGCCGACTCGGCAAGGTTGGATTCCCAGGGTGCCCTTTTTCCAATGGACATTCACAGGTCTGGAGGGTTGGTTGACCCTCCTGCATCTTACCCTGGAGTTTCCCGAATTTCCAAGTTCAGCCTGGCGTGTTCCAAGCTTCCAAGCAGATCCCTTTTTGGCACAGTTTCTGTGGCCCAACTTTCCACCAGGGAATTGCACAAGCTCACAATAAGTTGCCCGAAGGCTGTAACTACCTCAATTCTTGCCCCACCAAAAATAGACTTAGCTAGACCCCTGCAAAAAAAGTTGGTTTTGCTCGTTGAAAGGAAACATGATGGAAAACCAGTCCTAGCGAACCTCATGCAAAAGAATCTCAAAGATCCCAGACATTTGCCTCATTACGGGCTATGGGGGTCTTTTCATGGAGGCATGGATTTTTTCATTTTGGGAGAAGCTTCCTTTCGAGGCATTGGTCAAACGCTGACCCCGGGTCGAGAGGCGTCACGATCACATCCAGCAGCTCCAGGGAGTTTTGGTCCCCAAGCCACCAGCCCACCTGGATTTTTCGGGCGTAGCTCGGTCCGTTGGTATGCGAGCAAAACGGATAGCACACCAGCAAACAAATCCGTCCATTGGTGTGCAGCACGTTGTTCTTAGCTGAATTTCCACAACGGAAAAAAAGAGCAACTTCCGCTGATGGACATCATTGACCCAAACATCCAGTGGCCATGGAGAAAAAGAGCACCCTTTGCTTTAAAAGGACTCCCCTTCAACAAGAGCAACCACTGGAGGTATGGCGGTACGTGGTGTATTGCAATCCAACGTCACCAGCCAATTTTGAGAGGTGTCCTGACTCCGGCAAACGAGTCTGACACCTTTTGCTAGAACAGTTATCAGCTCGCAAAGTATTTGCATGCGGAAAACTCTCGGCAACCAAGGCCAAGTTTGAACCACCCAGAAAGCGAGATACAGAGATCCCTGCCGAGTTGTGAAAAATCGAGTCAAGGTGGGCGCAAGAGCCACAAACCGGGCTAATTTCATGTTCTATCTAAACATAGCTTCGTGTGGGATAAAAAACTCTTGAAATGGAGCATACAACCATGCAAACTCTCTCTTTTGTTGAGGCTCGTTGCCCTTTTTTGGCCCCAAATGAAAGGCATAAGGGTACCTGTGCCTTGTACCTACCAGGGGCACCATGGGAAATGCATAAGCCTTGGATCTCGACTGGGACTTCTCAAAAGGGGACCAACGGGGACCCGACGCCAAGTCGACGGCTATGTTTAAATCTTGCTTAAACAACGTTTGTTTGGATTCCCTGTAGGGGGAAAAGGGTCCGATTATTTAGGTCTCCCATTGGTTTCCCCTTTCACGGGTGCCATGGTCTAGTTCTTCAAACATATCAACATTGCCTAACCTACCCCAAGTCACCTTACTTTGGCTCTCTTGAAGAACAGGAAAAGGGTCTGAGTTCAAACAAAATGTGCGACTCACCCGAAGCCAAGTCGACGCAACGTCCTGTTTTCTCTACAAAGGCCAGGAATTTGGTTTTTCTCCGACTATTTTGCACGCCCAGTGTGCCAAGTATCGACTTGCTAAACCCATCCGAGCCGCGCCCCGGCGCCGCAGTTGCTGCCAGTCGCCGCAGGGCAGTTGATCCAAAATCAAGCGACGCTTCTGGGAGCAAAGGCCCCAGCAAGCCTCGGCCAGCGACGCGACCGCGACGCTACCGACGCATGCGACGGTTGCCGGGTCCCGCGACCCGAAAGCCCAGCTGAGAGGGCTGGGCCCTTTGTTGGCCTTTTCCACATTGGGATCCATGGCCCACGTTGTGGAACCTGACAGGGGATTCTGTGACCACTTTCCGCAGGCTTTCATGTTCAGTGGGAGGGGATATATCCATCATCCCTTGGCTATCCCCAAGTCGACTCTGCCAAAATTGATTGATTGGGGTTCGGCTTTGATACAACATGTGCCGTGTTCATGAAGCGCAGTGACAGCAGGGTATTCTTGTCAACTCCCCACTTGTCCCAACCTGGAAATCCACGCCTCATCTTTGGTGCAATAGAGTTGGGCCAACACTCAAAGGGTCAAACCGTTGGTCCAACGGGCAAGGCCAAGTGGAATCCGAATCTAAGAATCTGATTCAGCCATGGCCCGGGGAGCCCTTGCAACTCCAGCGTGGCTTTTAGGGGTCATTGGGGACCAGTAAGGGCACGCAACCTCCCATGGCTCCCCTTGCGGCTCTGAATCATTCTAAACTCCTTAGTTGGAACCAACACCAGCTTGTCGACCTGAACTGTTGCTAAGGGATCCATGACTGTCCCTACCAACCCAAGCCAGATGTGTGGGTGATGTCCTACTCCCAGTTTGCCAAGGGGGGACCACTCGACTGGACCAATCCATCGCCAAGCTGCGTCAGCTGTGGACAAACTCCTGAAGGGCCCTGGGCTTTGCAGGAGCCGTGCAAATCTGCACATATGGATGTGTGATTTTGATTGGGGACCCTTTGGTGGACATCACTTTTGGGGTGGTTCCCTGTTGCAATTCACAGCTATATTAACTGCAAGAAATCCGGAACCAAGCGACCTCCGTCAAGGGTGAGCTCGCTCATTTTACCCCAGGCCAGCTGTAGTTGGAGCAAATCCGTTGTGATGATTGTTTCCGCAAGAATTCTGGCAACTCAGCAAGCTGCAATCCTCACTTCCTAAATGGAAAGTCCAAACTGTTTGTTTAACACCAAAATGCTGTTGGTCCCTCGATTTCCCGGGTTGCTGGTGGAATAGCTCTCCTCGGCATTCGGGTGTCTCTCGCATCTCACGAGGAATTCCTGTCACTGTAACCCTTGCTGGGGACGGAAGGGGTAAAGCAACAGGGATCCTGAAAAGGACCCAAAAGCCAACTGCTTTACAGGGGGATCCTCCAAATCAGCTGGTCTTTGAGTGAGAAAATCACACCTTCTGGTATTCCTATAGGCACCAAAGAAACTTCACCCCACAGGGCCCCCGAGGAGTGGTCCCAGAATGGGGAAAATATGTCGAAAGTCCAAAGTGTTTGCTACTTGCGGTCCAAACCCAAGTGCCTGGACCAACCAGGAACTCAAGTGAGATTCAAACATCGCGAAACCGCGACTTTTTCTCTCTCTCTCTCTCTCCATCTCTCGCGTTGCGTGCCTCCTAGGAGTTCGCTGGTGTGGTTCCGCAGGTCCTCAGGGTGGGGTTCACATTGAGTTTGTGTGTTTAGGGTTCCCCAAAAGCGAGCACCCGCAGAAAATGACGATCCTATTTGGGGGCTTCCAAAAGAAGGATTCCGGAAAAAATGGTTTCCTGTCGGTTTTCTTGTAAGCCCACCTGGAAAAATGAACAAATCAGCCATTTTTGACATCCTTTTTCCGGGAAATCAACACTGCTGGGCTACTTGGCACCCAGCGACTTGTTTTTTTGATGGTACCGGTTTCGGAAGGTTGCTTCCAAAGGGAAGCCAAAGGCAAATTTCAACTATTCCATTTTGGGTCTCCTATTTTGAGGCAAGAAACCGACAAGCGTTGCTCCCTTTGAAGAGGGGGCCATGGCAGGTGGTTAATCCAAGTGTGTTGATGATGGAACCCAGAAGAAACTACTCTTTTGAGACCCGATTGTGCCGATTGTGCAAGTCCGGGTATGGCTTCGGAACCCAGATGTAGTTCCAAACCTCGAAAGAAACAGGAAGAGGAAACCGTCACCATGTGTTGCTCCCCGCAATAAGGTGCCAAGTGATTGGTGACAGCGATGGTGGCCTCGAAATGAGGAAAATCAATGGTAGACTGGGGCTTCCCCTTGGGTAATTTGCAACAGGAAAAAGTTGCAAATAAGGAACCCGCACCACTAAACGTCTGGGATTCCCTTCCCAGTAAGGCCTTTGGAAAAAGCCAGGGCGCTCGGTTGAAATTGCAAAAGGTGAAAAAAATGGAGGAGGAAAACCTGGGTGATGAGGTGCTTCATACAAAGCACTTCTGGAATCAAGCACATCGCTCACTCTGGGCGTGTCCTTTTTAGGGAGCACCTCTTTTTTGTGGTTTTAAAGAGAAACCAAAAAGGACAGCAGCCACTGTTGGGTGTGCCCTGAAAAAAGACGCACCCATCTCGGGCGGGTCCTCCCCAACCTCCAGCGCCGCCAAAGCGGTCACCAAGCGCGTGGTCGCCTCGTCCTGCTCGAGGACCGGCAGCAGTGGCACCACCCGGTCCTAACGGCAAACGGGCCCAGCGGAGAAAGCGACACGAGCGATTGCAGTGCCAGATGTTCTTTGTGAAGGATAGGACACCATGTTTGCTTCGTGCCTTTTTGACGGGTGCCATCTTTGGGGTGGTTTAAAGACCAAACGGGAGTGCGTTGTTGTCGTTTAGAGGGTATGGCGGCCAAATGGGGTTGTATTTGTTTGGATTGTACCATGTCTTGACCAAATGGGATTGTGCTTTTTTGGAGGGTACCGTGTTTGGGGTGGCAGGGTGGTCTAAAGACCAAATGGGATTGTTTTTTTGGAGGGTAACATGTTTGGGGAAGGTTTGCCGCCCAAAATCGCGGGCATTGCCCCAAAACAACCCAGGGTTCTCCGTTGCAACCGATGAAAGTCCGGTCTGGCACAGTTTGGAACCCCCCACACTCCCCTGGGTGATACCTTGTCATAGAAATGTGGGCCGCTTGAGGGATCTGGGCCAGAAAAAGTTGTCACTGGTTGGTTGAAAGGACAAATGATGGAAAGCCAACAAGGCGAAAGGTCGCACAAAGACAAGTTGAGTCGAGTCCTCATGGCTTCGCGAAGGACCAAAACCCTTCCGTCCTCCACGGCGCGGCAGGCTACAATGTGGTCTTGCAGCGCCGCAGCCTCTGAGGCGTTCGGCGCCTCCGTGTTCATGGTGGACTGGCTGCCTCAGCTTACTTGCCCAGTTTAGCCTGGCACGACTAAGAACAGACTCGAATACAAAACCCCAAAGGCCAGAAGTGCTTTGGACAAGTGCTGCTTTGGTCAAAATTCCTTTGGGTACATCGCATGTTTGCGGTACAGTCTGAAGTCACAGCCTTGGTGGCCCGGCTCCATGGAAATTGGGATTGGAAAGGACCAAATTATGTGAATGTTTGCTATTCCATTGCTATTTATGTTTATTACCATTGTAATGTGTGGTCCATGTCCTTTGCATGTCTTTCCATTCCTTCCCATGTCCTTTTTTCATGAAAGAGTTTCCTTTGCTACTAGATTGATCTTCGTTTCAAAACGTGATGCTACGTTGCTGATGGATCTCGAAAAATCGGACACGTGAACTATCAGAAGCAACGGAAAGAATCAAATACAGGAGGGACGTTTCAGAAAAAAGAAAAAAAACACATATACACTTCATGCAAAGAAACAAGGCAGAACGCGAAAGTTAAACAGGGACACAAATAAGGAACGCTGAGCCTTCTCAGTACATGTTTGTTTTACGTGCTCGCTAAATTGATCTGTTTCATTAATTCGAATTCAATAAAGAGATCTCCTTTCTTATACGCCACGCTTACTGCAATCACCACCACCACCACACCCCTCCCCCCGCTAAGGGCACGGCTCGCGTGGTCCTGGACCTCCGGAGCCTGATCCTCGAACCTCGGGTGGCTGACCAAGTGGATGACCACAAGTGGATGGTTTCAAGTTGTTGTTTGGCCTTTAAAATAGGCAAAAGGGGAAAATGAGAAGACGGGAGCAAGAGGAACACACAACAAGAACCAATGGCGGCAAACCAAAGTTCAATGGTTGGAACGCAGGGCAGCCGCTCTGGTCTTACGAGGCGACAGCACCAGAGGATGCCTACACTGACTACGAGTTTATGGTTGGAACCAACCAACCCAAACAGGCTTCATGTTTTTGGGCATCCTGTTTTAACGATCTTTACCTCGGAGCAAACCTGAAAAATGGCTGGACCTTAAACAGGTTTCCAGATGGGTTCCAGCTTGCACCGAAGGACAATCATGTGTGTAGCATCCTAGATCCCATTTGTTAGAACCCATCTGTTAGAACTGATTGGGCTCACCCAAGAAGTTATCTACAATTTCAACAATTTCTCGAAGCCTAAAATCCGCCGACCCCTCCTGCTATTAGCATATACTCACACCCAGGAGGTGACCGGCGTGGTTTACAATGAACTATGCGCTATACGGGAAACACCTCATTTTCCAAGAATGTGCACCAGCCATCCATCCATCCATCCATCCATCCATCCATCCGTCCGTCCGTCCGTCCGTCCGTCCGTCCGTCCGTCCGTCCGTCCGCCCACGATCCATCCAGCCACCCAGCCATCCATCCACCCATCCACCCATCCACCCATCCACCCATCCATCCACCCACTATCCATCCAGCCATCCACCATCCATCGCGCACGGCTCGGTTTTTCTTAAGAGACTTTCCCTGGCACGCGAGGCCGGTGCGCGGAGCATGAAAATACAAATTGGATCCTCAAGTCAAGGACCTTCATCATTGGCGTTCGATCGTTTTTCCTCAGAACATAGGCAGATTCCCCTCCCCCCATTTTGTCACTTGCCATTGGGTCCATGCCCTTGTGGGTGGCACAAGGCTGAAAAGGTGCTCTTGGGTTGTGGGGTCCATTTCGGCCTTTGCTACTTTCCTAACGTGGAACCCACATGTGTGCTCATAATATGCCGGAAGGATTTCTGGTTGTATTTGAAAACAGCACCAAATGAAGGCAAATTTCCCGCTGGGGTGGGAAGTTGTTCATTTGGTGTTTTTGTTCAGACAACACCCTGCTAATTTGATTCTTTGTTATGTTCCATGTTGACATCGCATGGTGCAATATCAAAGCAAGAAAGGCGCTCTTTACAACCATGAAAAAACAGTGACATCTGCTTTCAGCCAAGGCACTTCGCCAAGAGCTTTTCCAATTGATCGCTCAGGCTCTCACCCGACTCCTCCTCCTGCCATGATTTGCGTCATCAAATGCCGTCAGTCCAGCTTGCCCCTACTTGGTGGCTTGGATCGGAGGTGTGGGGGTAGGTTCCCGTTTCCCTCTACAAAACCATAGGTTCAAGTGAACATCACAACAGCCATTCAGGCAAGTACTTCCCTGCAAAAATAAGTGTGGGGTCCTCGCAAAATGATGGATGCTTGGGTTTCACGTTCATCCGAAGAGAAGCATCATCATTGGCAATGAGGCCCGGAAAACTATGCTCCTACAGTTTGAGTGGGGCCCCCCTCTCGTCCTCCCCAAACTATCAGCAAACAACTCGTACCGCGACACGCACAAACACACCAAGGGCATACCCAGGTCCGCTCCTTGCTTGCTTGCTTGCTTGCTTGCTTGCTTGCTTGCTTGCTTGCTTGCTTGCTTGCTTGCTTGCTTGCTTGCTTGCTTGCCTGCTTGTGCTCATTTTGCTGCACCACAATAGCAATACAATAAGACGATGCTGTGCCGCACCCTTCGGCCTGTGACTTATCAGTCGGCTGTGTTTGGTAAATGGGTCTCAAAATAGAGGACCCCAACCAGTTCGATTTTCCTGCGGTGTTCCTTGACATGAGCCCAAAAAAGGCATCATCAACAAAAAGCACACCCATAAGTAGAAACCCCGTCCATTGAAAGAATCCGGATCTCCAATGGAAGAGGTTGGACCTACCTCCAAGATATGGGGAGGGGTGGCTATCACCTAACTTTTCGAGGCTTTGAGCTCCTCTCCTTGGCTCCTTGGCTCCCTGGGATCCATCGATCTCACCCGAGAAACGGCCCCGGGCCTTGCTGGGCACATACGCGCTGGCGAGCTCCTGCAGCATTGCGGCTCGCTGGCAAATAGAGCTGGAAGCCACATATTCACATGCGGGTAGCATTGAAGCAAAACAGAACTCGCCCAAACGGGTAAATGCAGGGATATTCCATGGAGCTTTTGAAGGAAAAGCAACCATAGAAACCAGCCACAGGGAAATCTAGAAGTGAGACAAATACCGAGCAAAACCAAAAGCTTGGCTTTTGCTATCTGTAGAATTCACTGCAGGTTTCTTACCACCAAGAAAAGAAAAGATTCATAGGCTGGCCACAGGCATATCTGTCCCAATAGCTGGACCCCCAAAATGGATTCGGTGGAATTCCATGGGCACCCTGTTTTGGTAGTTGAGTTGGTGCTTTACCCCTCTCGAAAGGAGAATTAGAGAAACCTTCGAATGGCGGTCTTCCTTTCTTTCTCTGTCAAAACCACCCCACAGCTCCCCGCACGCACTCCCAAAAGAACGGAAAATGACTCATTCAGAACGGACCGCTGCCAAGATAAAACTCCAATTTGCCCATCTTGTGTCAAGCAGCCAAATGGCCAAGCACCTTCTCATTTGCAAAGCCTGCCACCAAATACCAAAAAGGTTGGCTTCCTGTTGATTCCCCGTGAACATCAACCACAAATGGGTTTCTCCAAAACAGACGCCAAAAGAACAAATTCGCAAGTCGAAAACAGTGGTTTACCAAGCCCGGCAGGGGGTTCCGCAATGTGTTTCTGAGCTCGGAGGGCGGGATTTCACTCTTTCTCACGCATCCCGTTCTTGCTTCACAAGAATCGCGTTGCAATGTGTCTTTTCCAAAGTTTCTTCAGTCATAGTCTCCTCTCCCCTACAAATCGTTCTGATATTCTAGCATGGACTTTCCCATTCCATAGTATTGTCACCCATCTTCATTTGAGAAACTATGTGCTCTTTGAGCAAGGCAAGTCTCGAGTTCCAACCTCGACTCGAACAGAAGCACTAAGTACCTTTTCTGTGATCTACCAGCCCATTCTAAACACATAGCTATGCACATTCCCCTGTTTAAGGCGTAGACATGTGTGTCTATGTTTCCATAGCAACCAAGGCCGGGTGCTTCTTTTGAAGGCCTAGTTTTGAATAGTCAACAGCGCTGGCATAGACAAAAGGAGCCTTGGAAGTGTCACTCCAATGCAAAGCCCCTTGTGACCCAATGGAGAACCCGCACCAGATTTTTTCGGGCTGCAGGGCAACCAGCGGAACCCAAGATCACCTTGTGGGTTGATCCATCGGACATGACGTCCTAGCCATGAACATAACCCCGGACAGTGGAAAATTGGGATCCTAACTCTTGCTCTAATGAGAATTTGCGCCTTGCCCTTCTGAACTTCTCGGTCCTCACACACTAACAATCGACAAACAATTCAGTTCCTCTGGGAGCGTACCTGCGTGCTGGATAAAGGGTCTGCAAAAAGATAAACGATTGTCCACCCGCTAACATGGCATCTGACATAGGATTGCTGGAAGAACTTCGCATCCTCCAACAAATGCTTTGTGGAAGGCAGGGTGGGCAATCTAGACCCAAGTTGCAGCATAAGGAATCAAACAGGAATCTAAACCTTGACCCACATCTGGGGTACACTAATGAAAAGCAATTGCCCTAAAATGTACAATATGCTTGGAGGAGACCCCAAAAACAGGGCTGTGTTGCCCTTTGACTAGTTGGGCTACAAACTCTCCTTTTGCAAGACAATCGCAACCCGACCTCGCACATCGAACCCTCGTTTCGGCTTCCTGTTGAGGAAATCAAATACGTAAATACCATATATTGTTATATTAGCCCTCCTACCAGCATGTTGGGAGAGGATTTCTCTGCTATGTCGCACTCGTGCGACATCCGACCCGTGGACCCCCCACCCCACCCCACCCGGGTGCCTCGGCCTGCTGCGCGCTTTGCCGCAGAGCGTTGACCAGGGACTGCGCCAGATCGGCGTTGACCGGCACAGGCAGCTGGCCGAAGGACTGGCCGTGTCCGCTTGGGCTCATGAGGCACGCTCAAAAAATCACGAGCGCCTCCCGAAAGGATCATGGAGAAATTGTGTGAGTCTCCGGGTTTTGGTGGACAATTTAGCCGGTCCCTAGGTTCCTCCCAAATGGACCATGGAGGAGATGTTGATCAAATCTTAAGTTGACCACAAGTGGGTCGATACGGAATGGCCCACCCACAGCCGACCAGCAATGTTGTCCGCTGCCCACATTGTGCCAGGTTCTTTTGGGTGGTGGGTTTGGTCTTTGCGACTTTACCCCATATTGACATAACATGAAATCAGGGGATATGCATAGGCAATGAAAGGAGGCCTATGTTAACCTTTTAGGCAATCTCAAGTTGCACTCTTTGGTTGCCCTTAATACTCACTTGCCCCGACAGCAAAATGGAACCCTTGGGCAGCTCTTCAACAAACATGGCACCACTAGATGTCCGGATATTTAGCTGGAAACGATAAACCTCAAGTGCGATTTCTGGAGTTTTGGGGGTATGGAGGCTTAGATACTGCAAATATAGGCTTGTAAGGTAGTATATCTTTTGTACCATTACGTACGTATACCTCCAGAACCCATGTGAAAATGCCCTTGAATACTCTTCACAAAGCCTTTTCTTCGTCTTTCAACATCCGGAACGCTGACTGGGCAAACCTCAAACGGAATAAGCCTGGCAGAATTACGCCGGAGCATGGTAGGACACCCCCCTTTTTGGCCAAGATTCCTGAAGGTTGACAAATTACAGCTGCTATTGTTACACACGCACATCAGGTCATTCATGGTTCAGGATATAACCCTTTCTGTGATCCCAAGTGGAATTCCTGTCTCCAGGACTACTTTATTTTGTATTTCAAACAGCTTCAGCCACTCGCGGAATGTGGGATTTTCAAAGTACAGTATGTCCCACAATCATGAGCTTTAGGGAAAAGAGCCTCACCACGCGCTCTAGGGAAGCAACCCTACATCAAGAGGCATTGTGTCCCCTCGCGCATGTCACACATGTGCGCTCAACCACGCACATAAGCCGTTCCCACCTTGCTGCCACACCTGAGCGCGCAACCCGCAAGGCCGTTGGAGGAAGGAGGGGGCGGGAAAGTAAATCAGATTAGCCGAGGATCAAAATAACATCAATCAACCACAGATTTCCCAGGATTCCCCTCACTTGCCCCATGGAAACAAAGGTTCGTTTGGAGCATCGCAGGCCCCATGACTTTGGGCCCTTCCAAAATGGTTATAAAGGCCCTCACTGATATCCAGGCTTCACTCTAATTTGTCTAAACCACCCAGCCAACGAACCGCTTACTACCCAAGAAGCGGGGGATGGGCCTTACCAGAATGCAATCCACCGGGCGCACCTGAAACAAAGCACTTGGACCCAAACGTACTGCCATTTACGTGTGCCATGGTCAAAACTCCTGGGGGCCATCGGAATCCGTATAATGGTTGTCATGAGCAACAAACCAATGCACTTGTTTCTCCAAAATCAAGTTGGAAAATTGGGTCGAGTGACAAAAATGGGTTATTCCCTTTGTATCACAGAAAGTGGCCCTACCCGATGTTCCACAACCATGGTGAGTTGGCTTCTTGTCCGGTGGATTTGATACGTAATGCAAACAAAGCACATCGACTAACGTGTTGACCTCCCCCCCTCCCCAAAAAAAATGAAGAAAAAAAGGGATAAAAAAAACGACTCAACATTTCACTTGCTAATGGAAACATGCACATTTCCCCAATAGTTAACCGCTAACACTAAGCGGACCTGAAATCCCCCCAAACACCCACAGTTGGGGGCTCAATATGGCCGCACTCGGGTTAGATAAGTCACAAAGCCAGCTTTCAAATCAGTTGCCCAATGACATGCAGGAATCAGCTTCCAAATCAGTTGCCAAACCTGTTTCCAAGCAAGTCGCAACTAGCTTATCAGTTTCCAAATACATGTCCAAATCAGTGCCCAAATCAGCTGCCAAAGACCAATGTTTGGTCAAACATGGTCAAACAAGAGGTTCGTCTCTTTTGCTTCATTGATCTTTCCTAGTGGATCCATTGGATTCCTACCATAGTAGGCAATTTGTTTATAGCCTTGTGGTTCCCTTGGTCACCGATGGGAAAAACCAGGGAATCCCGTGTCCGGCCAGTGGATCTATATCTCCATATTTGGGCACCCATCGGATACCCCCAAAAAAACAAGTTGAAACAGGAGCACCGGACGAGGCCCTCCAAGAGTTTAGGAAATGGGTGGGCAGGGTGTGAAGGGCTTGGTTTCACTGTACCAACCTTCTCTGAAATTCGAGGCCCAGTAGTAGTAGTATCATAGAATTGCAACTCCCACAACCCTTGCAGCAGCCTGATTTCCTCCCAAAACAAGCCAAAAACAAGTAAACAATAAAACAAACAACACACAAATAAGCAAACAAACAGGCAAGCAAACAAACAAACAAGCAAGCAAGCAAGCACACAAACAAACAAACAAACAAACAAACAAACAAACAAACAAACAAACAAACACACAAACAAGCAAGCAAGCAAGCAAGCAAACAAGCAAACAAGCAAACAAGCAAGCAAGCAAGCAAGCAAGCAAGCAAGCAAGCAAGCAAGCAAGCAAGCAAACAAGCACACAAGCATACAAACAAACAAACAAACAAACAAACAAACAAACAAACAAGCAAGCAAGCAAGCAAGCAAGCAAACAAGCAAGCACACAAACAAACAAACAAACAAACAAACAAACAAGCAAGCAAGCAAGCAAGCAAGCAAACAAGCACACAAACATGCAAACAAACAAACAAACAAACAAACAAACAAACAAACAAACAAACAAACAAACAAGCAGGAGAGCAAGCAAGCAAGCAAACAAGCAAGCAAGCACACAAACATACAAACAAACAAACAAACAAGCAAGCAAACAAGCGCACAAACATGCAAACAAACAAACAAACAAACAAGCAAGCGAGCGAGCGAGCAAGCAAGCAAACAAGCACACAAGCACACAAACATACAAACAAACAAACAAACAAACAAACAAACAAACAAACAAACAAGCAAGCAAGCAAGCAAGCAAGCAAGCAAGCAAGCAAACAAGCACACAAGCACACAAACATACAAACAAACAAACAAACAAACAAACAAACAAACAAGCAAGCAAGCAAACAAGCACACAAGCACACAAACATACAAACATACAAACAAACCAACAAACAAACAAACAAGCAAGCGAGCGAGCAAGCAAGCAAACAAGCACACAAGCACACAAACATACAAACAAACAAACAAACAAACAAACAAACAAACAAGCAAGCAAGCAAGCAAGCAAGCAAACAAGCACACAAGCACACAAACATACAAACAAACAAACAAACAAACAAACAAGCAAGCAAACAAGCACACAAGCACACAAACATACAAACATACAAACAAACAAACAAACAAACCCGCCAAGTGTCTTGGCTTGGAGGCTCCAAGAATTTTGGTTTGTTTCCAACCCGCCCCCCCCCTTCGCTCGTCGAATGCAGAGAGGGCCGCTGTTCTTGGAGCCAGCCCTCCAAAATCTCCTTGGCTAGCCGGGTGCAGTCGCGGGTCCGGAGTTCTGCTTTGCTTGCTGGAATCTGCATATTTTACATTTCCCACACCTGAAATAAGAATTGGATCTCCAAGACTAGGGCCTACATGATTGGTAGGTGAGCTCGCCAAATAGGCAGGGCAATGAGGGAAAATCTCCCCTATCAACCATCAGTGGTTTCCCTCAAGGGAACCTATAGCTTCCTGCTCCAGGCACATATCATCATGTTTCCCTGCTGAGAACCAGCAAGTTATTGCATCTAAAGGAGCTTGTTGGCCGAACCAAAAGCCTGTTGGCCCCATTTAGCAGCCCTTTTCGTTTCCAATACCGTCCCCCCTGGCGAGCCTTTTCTTTGCCCCAACAACGGTCCCGTGTTGCTTTGCCGGGATTCCCATTCCACCAGATCAGAGAAGGGCCATCATTTCATGCTGTTCTTGTGGCCTCTCCGCTACGACGAGACGGAGTAGAGAGAGAGAGAGGAGAAAGATGAAGGGAGTCAGGAATCTCCGAATTCTGCTCGCATCAACAAGTTGTAATTCTTAGTCCCTAGAGTCCACGGAAAGACTCTGGACTGCGCGGCCGTTGAGCACTTTGGAAAGGATTGACAATTAGCCTTAATTCTGCAGTTCTCATCTGTAAAATTCGCAAGATTCCGAAAGTCCTTGTACACAACATAATATGTTCCTTTCCAATCCAGGTAGGAATTGATGGGATTGAGAAAGGGAAGCATATGAAGTCTACATTGGCCGAAGGGAAATGAACTAAGGGAACCGGAACCATTTACCCTTGTCTACGCCTGGGCGTTGAGCACACTCAGAGCAACACTGTTCTACCCACCTGAGTTTGTTGGGGCAATAAACCAAAACGCCAACAAACAGGCCGTCCCCGCATGAATTCAAGGACATGTCCCGAGAAACCTGACTTCGATAACACCCACAGACATGGAAAACAACACGCGCATACTGGAAAAGTAGAATCAATCCAAAAAAAAGCACTTGTGCTTCGTTGATTAAATCCAATTGAACAAAGGACATGCCCCCACTTTGTTGGTCTGAAGGGCGGAAGGTCGGGTGTTTGGTAGTTTATGCTATATAAAGGGGTTGACCCCCTCCAAACAAAAGTTGAAAAAAGGTTTAGCAATTCACTAGGTTCGCTCTCTATAGAAATCGAACAGCTTTGCCTTCAGATCCTGTTTCCTATTTAGGCAATCTTGAAGAACAAATTCGTTTTGGAAGAAACCCTGGTTACAGTTGGGTAAATTGGATGGTCCTATTGCCCCATTTCGCTTTCATTATCCCTTACCAAGGGCACAAGGGAGTTTCTCAAAATAAGGGATCCCTTCAGGTGGTGGATGTGGTTTGGGTTCCCCTGACCTCCAAAAGGGAACCCCCTACCGTGGATGACAAGATTCTCCACCAGTGGGGATGGATGAAGCTCCAAGAAAAAAACTGGAGAAAAAAAAAAGAAACCAACTGGTGCAGCATTCACCTGTTCTGCATTCAACATATTTGTTGAGAACCCACAAATCGCGCGACCGACGCGGCGAGTGGCCGTGACCCTGCTCTTCGTCTCCGGCTCCGGCGGCGGCTGATCCGTGTCCGGCGAGATGTCCGGGGACTCCTTGTCTAGAACACGTGTCCCGATTTTTGTTTTTTCCCCAACAGCTGAAAGCTTTGGGGTCTCAGCCCAGATAGGCTCCGGGGTGGTCCGGGGCGGCCGTGAGGTAAGGTTCCACGAGGGTTCCACCAGGGTTCCACCAGAGTTCCACCTGGTTCTGCAAGGGCTGCGGGGTGGTCCGGGGTGGTTTGAGGTAAGGTTCCACGAGGGTCCACCACCAGGGTTCCACCAAGTTCTACGAAGGGTGCGGGGTGGCCCGGGGTGGTTTGAGGTAAGGTTCCACCAGGTAAGGTTCCACGAGGGTTGGTTCCAGGGTTCCACCAAGTTCTGCAAGGGCTGCGGGATGGTCCGGGGTGGTTTGAAGCAAGGTTCCACGAGGGTTCCACCAGGGTTCCACCAGGTTCTGCAAGGGCTGCGGGGTGGTTTGAGGTAAAGTTCCACGAGGGTTCCACCAGGGTTCCACCAGCTTCTGCGAGGGCTACGGGGTGGTCTGGGGTGGTTTGAGCTAAGGTTCCACGAAGGTTCCACCAAGAGTTTGCAAGGGCTGCGGGGTGGTCCGGACAAGGATCCACCAGGCTTCCACCAGGTTCTGGGAGGACTATACGGGATGGGGTGGCGGGGTGGTTTGAGGTAAGGTTCCACGAGGGTTCCACCAAGGTTTTGAGGTCAGGTTCCCCCAGAATCACCAGGTTCAACGTAAGGTTCCACGAGGCACCGGGGTTTCATCAGGTACTGCAAGGGTGGTTTGAGGTATTTCCCAGGGTTCCACCAGGTTCTGCAAGGGCTACGGGATAGTTGGGGTGGTTCATGAGGGTCGACCAAGGTAAGGTTCTAGCAAGGCTGCGGGGGGTTCCACGAGCGTTCCAGGGTTCCACGGGCTGTGGCTGAGGTAAGGGTTTCACAGCAGTTTGCAAGGATTCGACAAGGGTCACAATGCTCCACAACGCCCGACAAGTTCCACAAATGTTCTGCAAGGAAGCAATGTGTCGTGCCCCCACCGTCTGAAAAGCCATTGGAGCAGTAAATTGAGGGCTCAGAAGATTGCTTTGCTCATGGGCGGAGCACTAAGCAAAACCGAAATCAATGGTTTCCAGCACACTTTCACTGTTTTGTCACTTGCTCACTTGCTCAGGCAACGCGAGAGGGTTGTGGCAAACTCACTGTGTAGCAGAGTAAATTCTTGCATTACTGAGTACCAGTAGAGCCGGCGAAACCGGTGGGCGGAAGTTTCCAAAATATAAAAACTATAGTTATCTTTCTCTTTCTTTTCTTGATTCCTTTTCTCCGTCATTCTTCCTTTCTTCCTTTCTTTCCTTCCTTCCTCCCTTCTTTCCTTTTTTCTATCTGTCTTTTCTTTCTTTCTTTCGTTTGCTTGTCTATCTATCTTTCTCTACCTATCTATACCTAATTACCTATCTATCTATCTCTCGTGTTATCTATCTATCTGCTTATCTATCTATCTATCTATCTCTCTATCTATCTATCTTCTCTATCTATCTCTCTATCTCTCTATCTATATATCTACCTATCTCTCTATCTCTCTATCTATCCATCTCTCTATATCCCTCTATCTCTG